AAGCACTGTTTTTTCTAACTACAACCACTCCAAATTATTGCCCAGTTTTTACATAAACCACTGACATTGCTGATCTCACTATCATTTAGAATCAACTGTTATAATAATACAGTCTTCCACTGAACAGAAGAAGTTTGCCATTTCCTTTTTTAGCTAGCTGAAGAACTACAGCATTCTGAACCACTGTCTTTCACAGAACAATTAGAGTGCCAGTTATGTATTCCCCCTGAAATGTCTGTTTCATTATGCATGTGTTTCCATTATGATATTATGTACTCCCTTGATGGGGAATGTTTACTTCATCATATCAAATATCAATTGTTTACTTCTGATATTTAATCCCCCACCTGATATGCTTTTCAGAGGGTGGTGTATTAAGAGAGAAATTTAATAAAGGGAAAAGCATGAGTTGGACTTATGCCTGAATCAAAATTAAGGTGTCATTCTTTTAAAAGACATTGTAACAAGATGTCCACGTGCATCCTTGTGTTTTCCTACTTCATTCCCTTGTGTTCTTCTGTGAGGATTAACACCTGAGAAAAATAGCTGATTTGTTCCCATTAATGGAGCAGTTGTCTCACACATATCCCTAGGTTAATTTCAGGTGTCAATATAAACTGATTAGAGGACTGAATAATTAAAGGTTTAACAATGACAAATAGACCCACAACTATTTCACATTTGGGGACAATATATACCTTCAAGTCAGCGGCACTGCTATGGGTACCCGCATGGCCCCACAGTATGCCAACATTTTTATGGCTCACTTAGAACAACGCTTCCTTAGCTCTCGTCCCCTAATGCCCCTACTCTACTTGCGCTACATTGATGACATCTTCATCATCTGGACCCATGGAAAAGAAGCCCTTGAGGAATTCCACCATGATTTCAACAATTTCCATCCCACCATCAACCTCAGCCTAGACCAATCCACACAAGCGGTCCATTTCCTGGACACTACTGTGCTAATAAGCGATGGTCACATAACCACCACCCTATACCGGAAACCTACTGACCGCTATACTTACCTACATGCCTCCAGCTTCCATCCAGGACACACCACATGATCCATTGTCTACAGCCAAGCTCTAAGATACAACCGCATTTGCTCCAATCCCTCAGATAGAGACAAGCACCTACAAGATCTCTATCAAGCATTCTTAAAACTACAATACCCACCTGCTGAAGTGAAAAAACAGATTGACAGAGCCACAAGAGTACCCAAAAGTCACCTACTACAGGACAGGCCCAACAAAGAAAATAACAGAACGCCACTAGCCGTCACCATCAGCCCCCAACTAAAATGTCTCCAGCGCATCAGCAAAGATCTACAACCTATCCTGAAAGATGATCCCTTACTCCCACAGATCTTGGGAGACAGACCAGTCCTCGCTTACAGACAGCCCCCCCAACCTGAAGCAAATACTCAGCAGCAACCACAGACCACAGAACAAAAACACTAACCCAGGAACCTATCCTTGCAACAAAGCCCGATGCCAACTCTGTCCACTTATTTATTCAAATGACATCATCATAGAACCTAATCACATTAGCCACGGCATCAGGGGCTCGTTCACCTGCACATCTACCAATGTGATATATGCCATCATGTGCCAGCAATGCCCCTCTGCCATGTACATTGGCCAAACCGGACAGTCTCTATGCAAAAGAATAAATGGACACAAATCTGACATCAGGAATCATAACATTCAAAAACCAGTAGGAGAACACTTCAACCTCTCTGGCCATTCAGTAACAGACTTAAAGGTGGCAATTTTGCAACAGAAAAGCTTCAAAAACAGACTCCATCAAGAAACTGCTGAGCTTGAATTAACATGCAAACTAGATACCATTAACTTGGGTTTGAACAGAGACTGGGAGTGGCTGGGTCATTACACATATTGAATCTATTTCCCCATGTTAAGTATCTTCACACCTTCTTGTCAACTGTCTAAAATGGGCCATCTTGATTATCACTACAAAAGTTTTTTTCCCCCCTCCTGCTGATAATAGCTCATCTTATTTAATTAGTCTCTTACAGTTGGTATGACTACTTCCACTTTTTCATGTTTTCTGTATGTATATATATATCTTCTTACTATATGTTCCATTCTATGCATCTGATGAAGTGGGCTGTAGCCCACGAAAGCTTATGCTCAAATAAATTTGTTAGTCTCTAAGGTGCCACAAGTATTCCTGTTCTTTTTGCAGACATTTAAGTGGGATTCACAAAGGTACTCAGGTGCTTAACTCTCACTGATTTCAGTTTTCAGGTAGAGGTGCAGCAATCCATAACACAATTTAACTTTTCTATTGATCTTTACAGCTCCTGGAATGTCTCTTGTAAATTTTCTAAGGTACTTCAAATCCGAAGGGATCTTCCAACTACTAGTTAAAAATTAAGGGGAAATTAGAAGGCATTTGTCAAATGGAAACTAAAACAAGAATGATTTCTACTGCTCTGAAAAATCGTGTAAGTACTCAATTATTGTACCAATCCTCTCCAATCTTCACATGCAAGATAATTACATTTTAGTCTTTTCAAGTAACCTATGCAACCTCTTAATTTGTATGCTGTTCATATAGATAGCAGGCTAACACCCAATACAAAAAGTGTGTGTTAATTAGCACATTATAAATCAAAATACTATAAAATGAAGTCCTAAAGAATTTAGAAGCTCCCTTTAATTCTAGCTAGTGTTTCAAGATAAGGGCTAGAATAGGGTGATAAAACAATTGAAGTACAATCTTTAGCAAACTTGATAAATTTTCAGTAATAAATTACAAGCCCTTCACTATGATAATGTTAAATGGTTGTTCAGTAACCGCCCTTCCAGTAATCCTTATTGTAATCAGATTTGAATAATTGAGAACTTGAGATAACAATTCGTGAATGGCATTCTCTGAAGACTATACCTAAACAAGCCTATACCAAAATTAATGTAACCATCAATACATAAAATATTATGACAAACAGATCAAGCCAAATTTGACTATAGGAACCATTTATTAGACATCTGTTAAAGTGAAGTCCCAATTGCTGGATTTTTTCCTATATCTTGGGATTTTAAGATACATTCAACTCTACTGTAAAAAATTAGAAGTTCAATAAAAATAAAATCATTAAATGCTTTTTGAAGTACAAAAATATCATAATTCTGCTCAACAAATCTCTCTCAAACCCCCCAGCAGAATTTGATTCAACTTTTCATGATCAATTTTATTCTTTAGGCACTAAATGTACATTTATGCCCTGCTGAATTCTTTTAAAAAAAGATCAAACTAGCACACTTTTAGCATTTTATTTATTTCTCATGACACTTCTTAGGTAAGAGCAAATCTTTTTAACAGATCTGCTTTCCCAAGAATATAATTTTTATAGAGAAATTAGTTATAAATGGGGGCAAGGGGCTATGATGACCTTGAGTCAGAGGGAATTAGTTTACACTTACAATAGATTAAAAATCCTTAAAGAGATTTGAAAATTAAGCAGTGCAAGAAAATCATTAGTGGTATGTTAATAGCATACACCAAATTTAAGGATTTTATGGTAAGCTAATACAAGGTAATGGCAAGACCTACTTGGTACAATGTTGTTTTGCGCTCTATCCTTTAACAGATTAAAAATGTAACTGACAATTACTAGCCAGGAAGAAAGTTATCCTATGCCACCACATCTCCTGCAACAGCTACATACTATTTATGTATTTAAATATGAGTCAACTTCTTTTTTAATACAACTTAATATCTCTCTTTGGTGTTACCTTTCTCTCTCACTGGCTTCACAGATGGATAGAGTCCAAGATCCAAAGGGACTTGTGATCATCTAGTCTGACCTCCTGTTAGTTGCAAGCTATAGAACTTCCCCCCAAAAAAATTCCTAGAGCATTTTTTTTTAATCCAGTCTTGATTTAAAAATTGCCAGTGATGGAGAATCCACCACAACCTTTGGTAAATATTTTCAACTCTTAAATTACCCTCACTGTCATTTCCAATCAGAATTTATCTAGCTTCAACTTCCAGCCATTGGATCATGTAACCTTTTCTGTGGACTGAAAAGTCCATTATCACGTATTTATTCCAGATGTAGATATTTACAGATTAATCAAGTCATGCCACTCTCCTTCCTTCCTCCTTATATTTCCTCATATATAGTAATTTGCTCTATGTTTATCTGTTCCAATTCCACACTACCCCACCCCAGTTTAAAAATAAAAAATAAAAAAAAATCAATACTCCATTTGCCTCTCTGAACTTATCCTCAGCAGCGTTTCCACCAACCTATTCATATGCAGGGCTTCCAAAATTTACCAGACACCTATTTACCAGAAGACAATGAAAATAAAGAGTCCCATTTTCAAGTACAATATCCAGGTGAAGAACCAAGCTCCCACTAGCTGGTCCTTGAATTCCCACCAGTGTACTTCCTCAGTACCCTGCTCCTGGGCTCAATCATTTGTAGCCTCTTGGCAATAAGTGTCTAATAAATTTGAAACTCTGCCTTCCCCCAGCTGCAGGAAAGGAAAAAGGAGCATTAGTTAATTTCATCAGTCTTATAATTGCAGTATCACACCTGTCATTGTTATCAGTTAACACTTGCTCTTGAATAAATCAGAATTACATTGGCAGCTCTTCTCTCTACAGTTGAACATAATCCAAATGTTTCTTCTATGAAAGTTACAGCAGCCAATATAAATAGTAGATTGTATGATAAACACTGGTAACTATATTGCAGCAATACCTAATGCAACAGAGAACTATTCCCAATCTCGAATTTATCATTCAAATCGGTATGAGATACAAGCTGCTATGCATAATAGCTGCATCCAGACATACTTCAAAATGCTAATGCTTAAATATGCAACACAATAAAGCCAACCCAAAGTGCAAGGTGCTTAAGCATGGAATTCATTGTGCAAGCAGAAACACCTTTTTTATTTCAAGGAGCCTTCACTTACTCCACCAGGTCTGTTTTAAATCCGAGTCACGGTTGTCAATACCTGCAGGTCGTAGCAGCAGTGTCAAAGCCTCAAACGTTTTTGGTCAAATCTGTTGAAGCCTAACCAAGAGATAAAGCGCATTAACAGTTCGTTACCTGCTCAAAGGGCACTGCAGTGTAACTCACCTCACCGAAGGTTTTCACATGCGCTTCCCCGTCACTCCATCCCATCGGGCCTCATTAGCTGCGAACTGCCCTTCCCAGCAACAGCATCCTCCTGCCCACCACAGCCGCCTGACGCTAGCGACTTCGGCCAAGGGCACTGGGGATGCTGGGTTTCCCGGCGGTCCCCGCAGAGCAGCGGGAGCTGGGGCTCACCTGCCTCCCCGCGCCATTAAGGAGGCAGAGCTGAGTCTCCCCGAGAAGGGCCGGGAGCAGAGCGGGGGTGGGCGGCTCAAGCCACCGATCGCTCCCGTCCGGCCGCAGAGGAAGCGGCGGCTACTGTTGCTCTGAGGGTTTCGGGGGGAGAGAGCACCCCTCCCCGCCAAGGTCTCCCCTACCCACAAACATGATAGCGGAAGTGACGTTCACAGCCGCTAGCAGCCCTCACAGCCTATCGCTCATGAGAACGGAAACCATATAGCCAATCAGCAGCGCCCGGGGGCGGCACTTCCGGGGCTTCACGTTAGTCTGAGGGGGGGGTGAAAAAACCTTAAATGCATAAACACGTGAGCGGAGGGAGACGGTTGAGAGCCCCCACCCGCGGCGGCAGCAGCACCATGGCAGAGCGCGGCCCCGCCGCCCCGGGGAGAAGCCCTGGTTCAGCCCGCCCCACGCACGCGGTCGCGCTCCACAGGCAGCAACCAGAAGACGACACGGCCCAGCTGCTGCTTCCTACCGAGCAGGCAGCCGCTAGGGCGAGCCCGGCGTGCAGCCAGCACCTGCCTTCAGCCAGCAGGGACCCGCACGGCGTTCCCTTCCGGCCTGCTTCCGCGCGGCGCCTCGCTCCCTGCGGCCGGGCCTCCGGCCCCTCTGGCCGCCAGGAAGCCCCCATTCTCCCTAGGTCTGCCCGCCCCCCAAGCCGCTACCCGGGCGCTGCCCCCGAGCAATGGCGGCGCCGCAGCCCCATTACCTGCTGCAGGCTGACCCGGAGCGGCGCCCAGGACCCGGATGGAGTCGCTCGTCACGGCTGCCCTGCGGCCGCTCGCCGCGATGCATCACGGGAAGGGGGGGCAATGTCGCGTCGCCCCGCTCATTGGAGAAGGGGCAGGCAGGCACCGCCCCTGGCACGTTTCCGGGGAGGTAGAGCGACCCGTCCCTCACCGGAGATTCTCCACTCTCATTGGATCGAAGACTGGGTGACACCGCCTCTTTAGAGGAGCCTGGTCTCTCATTGGAGGAGAGCCCCCCGCACACGTGCCTACCGCCTAATTGGAGGCGAGACTAGGGTGGCTCCAACCCCCGCGCCGAGCGCCATAACTTGGAGGAGGAGCTGAGTTATGAACCGCGATACGCGGCTTCACCTCTGATTCCGCCCCCGCTCCCCCCCCCAGCCAAAGGGGTAGGAGCTCAGACTCTTCCCTCCGGGGGAGCAGAGGGGGAGGGGCTCACACACACACACCCCTGCTGGAGGCAGAGCAAATCCAGAGTGGGCAGCTGCCCCTCTCCAGGGATGCTGGGACAGTTTGTATGGTGGGGGGTGCTGAGAGCCATTGAACCAATTAAACCCTGTACATAATGGAAACCACTTCAAGCCCAGGGGTGCGGGAACATGCCCTGCTGCCCTAGCCTATGTCTCCATCCCAGTTTTCCCAAGACAGTCTGTTTGCCGTCCCTCATCCCGTTGAGTTGTCCTGTTAAGAGCCCGGTAATTGGGAGTGTCAGGAAAGCTGTCATTGTCTGAGAACACCTTGTATTCACTTGGGGAAGCAGGACGTTAGCAATCACAGTTCTAAGAATAATAAAATGGTATTTTCATTATCTAGCATGAATGTCCTGGGATCTACTGTTCTGTAAATTCTGTGACCCTGAATTCCTGCACCTCTGTATGTTCAGAACATGTATTCATAACCAGAATGGCAGGATCTGTCCCTGGGAGCCTTGGTCCAACCTACAGAGCTGCCTCCCAGTAATCCAAGCCTTTAATCCAAAGAACAGTTTGAGAAACTGGAATGATTGTGTTTTAAATTGGTTTGTGCAAAGAGTAACCTGTATGCTGATGTGCAGCACTGCCATAAAAGAACTTCAAACAGGAAAAGGAGCTGATATCACAGGTCTCACTCCTATGTGGTGATGTTGTGTTGCATCATTCTGTATGACGGCAAGAAGGGGAAACTGGGGTCAAGAGAAGAAATATATTCTGAGAGGAGTTAATGTCTCCAGCAGCCTAGCAAACGTACATGTGCACGGGCACATACACCCATGTAGTGTACAGCGCTAGGTAGGGCCATATGCCTTATCCACCATAACTCCATTCTATATATGTAGGGCCCTACCAAATTCACAGCCATGAAAAACATGTCATGAACCATGAAATCTGGTCTTTTGTGTGCTTTTACTCTATACTATACAGATTTCACAGGGAGACCAGTGTTTCTCAAATTAGGGGTCCTGACCTAAAAAGAAGTTGCGGGGGGGGGGGACAAGGTTATTTTAAGGGAGATGGTGGTATTGCCACCCTTCTGTGCTGCCTTCAGAGCTGGGCGGCCTAAGTGTGGCGGCTGCTGGCCAAGGGCCCAACTCTGAAGGCAGTGCCCTGTCATCAGCAGCACAGAAGTAAGGGTGGAAATACCATACCATGCCACCCTTACTTTTGTGTTGCTGCTGGCGGTGGCTCCGCTGTCATACTTCCCCTCTCACAAGCACAGAGTCTGAGTTTAGCAAAAACGTTTAATAAAAGGAGGGAAGTAACTCAGCATTAATTTGAGAGAACACCACAACTAGGATTCATAAACATAAACCATGAGCAACAGACCCACCCCCAAGTAAGCTGGGCACTGTCTATTTCCCCTCATGTTCTTAAGTCCAGCAGCCCAAAAGTCCCTTTAATGTTCCCATCCCTTCTCTATACCCCACTCACAGTTGCTGTCCTTGGCTGGTGCAGCCCCAGAGTTCAGAGGTTCAGCCACAGAGTTCACCTCCCATCCTGTGCAGAAGGGGTGGTAAGGAGGCACCTTACACGCTCAGGCACTTGCTCATCACCCCAACAGCTGATTGCCATGCCTCTCAGCAGGGCTCTGCTCTAGCCCTCTCCACCAACTTCCCTGCTGGCCGCTTACCACACCTCTCTGCCAGCCACCAAACTGGCCACACACCAAGATGTCTTCAGGGCCCCCCATTTAATACAGCTCTCAGTGATTTCAGCTGTTGGTGGGGGAGCCTCACTGCTGGTGCACAGTGGACAATCTCTTGCAATAAACACACTGTCCCAAAGTAGGTCTAATCCTTAAATCTAGGTATCAGTGATTTCAGTTCTGAACAGTACAAAAACACTCTAAATTAGCTTATTTATTATACCATGGAAAACAAACAGGTCAACTCACAGCCACACCACACCTCGCCCCTTGGGCGTTGGAACCCATGTCTACCGAGTGCCATTCAGTTGAGGGTGAGTCCCTCCATCGGGGTATGCCAGGTACAGTTCTGCTGCCCTGAGTTCACACAACAAGGATAACAACACTTTATTACTCCTGTCCCAATAACAAGGAGACTGGGGATCTAACACCAGCCACAAGTGATCATTTGGGCAAGCAATCCCATCATGCTGAGCACCTAGGCAGGGTGGGTGTGTCCATTCAAACAAGATCAGCTCCTGAAGTCTTTTTCCACAGCTCACCACTAGATGTCAAGGGAGAGCTCATTTAGACTCGGCTTACATTTGTATAAGCACAAATTTTGCCAAAGTTTGGATTTTAGGACACAAACTGTCATATAAGAAAAATAGATTTGGTGAGAATATTTTCCTTTCTCTATCAAAGTTCATGTCTGACAGCCCTCATTATTGGAATGTAGATAGTGATGATGAGAGACAAGGGAGGAAGCTTAAAAAGAAGGGGCTGCTGCATTTTTCACAAGAGTCTGTGGGGGAGGGGTTGTTTGTTTGTTTGTTTTTTTGTGAGTCACCCCAGCTTGGAAACTCAAGGTAAAACTTTCAAAAGTGCCTTAGACTCATAAGTCCCACTGAAAGTCAATTACATTGAAAATGTTACTGATTGCCAAAGAATTTCATGCTATGTTACGGCTAATTTCTCAGTTGGAGCAGTAGCTCTGGATCTGGAACAGTTTGCACTCATTTCTTCATGTGATTGCAATATTCTGAATCACAAGCTTTTAAGATGTGTGAGTTGTATTAAACACAGTTCACACACCTACCTATAAACTTTTGATATTTTGTTTCACTAATACAACCGGACAGAATATTTTTCTCACAGATTTGCCCTACTGTTTAGACCTGCATTAACCGCCTGAATTCCAGCATATGCCATGTCTTTTTTTGCATGTGACTGGAATTGGAAGAGAATGAAGAATTATGTCCTGAGACCTGTGGAAAGTGGTATAACTCCCTCTGGTGAGATTAAGATGATAGTATCTTGATGAAAGATCAGATTTGATCTTCAATAGAAAAGGCTGGTAATTCCGATACTTTTCTCACTGATGTCATGGCTGTGAAGAGGGTAACTTTTAGTTTTGATAAATATAAAGTTATTAATTGAAATAGTTCAGACGTTGACTTTAACAGAGTTTGCAGAACTGTAGTTAAGTTCCATGTTGAAAATCTGTGGCTGATGTGTGGATTCAGGAGAGTCATGCTTTGAGAAATTTGGAAACCCGGTGTTATGATGGCAAGGTATGATCTTGCTTTATGAGCTTTGAAAATATTGTCCAATGCAGTTGCATGAACTAACCTTTACTTTGCTCTTGGAGCTCTAGGGTATTGTGAATTTTGGCAGCATTTGTTTGCACACTGTTCTCTCAACCCACCCCACTCACCCCAATATTTGAATTTTATCCAAATTCTAGCATATGCTTTCAAACTAGATTGTTTCCTAGGTAACATGGATGTGTTGCTGATTTGATCAGAGTAGCTTTTCCACTGACTAGATGCCCAAAAAGCTACAATCGAAGACTAAAGCCAAATTGGTTAAAAAACTGACTTTGTTTAGAGGGGAAGTGAAGGCAGCTATACAAAATTAAAAAATAACATATAGCAAATGGAAGAAAGGGGAAGTTGATAGTAATGAATATAAATCAGAAGATAGGAATTGTAGAAAACTGATAAGGGAAGCAAAGGAACATAAGGAGACATTGATGGCTAGCAATGTTAAGGACAACAAGAAGGTATTTTTAAAGTATATTTGGAACAAAACAAATCCTGACAATGGTGTTAGTCCATTACTAGAAGGAAATGGTACATTTATCAATAATAATGCAGAAAAGACAGAAGCGTTCAATAAATATTTCTGTTCTGTATTTGGGGAAAAAAACAGATGGATGTAGTCTCATCATATGATGATGGTAACATGCTTTCCATTTCACTATTATCTCAGGAGTATGTTAAACAGCATCTACTAAAGTTAGACATTTTTAAATCCCCAGGTCCAGATAAACTTGCATCCAAGAGTTTAAAAGAGCTGGCTGAGGAGCTCACTGGACCATTAATGTTTATTTTCAATAAGTCTTCGGGAACTTCCCCGGTTTTCTAAGACTGGAAAAAAGCTAAAGTTGTGATAATATTTTAAAAAGAGTAAAACAGGATGACCCAGGTAATTATAAGCCTGTTAGCCAGACATCGAGCCCAGGCAAGTTAATGGAGCAGCTGATATGGGACTTGATTAATACAGAAGTAAAGAACAGTAATATAATTAATGCCAATCAACATGAGTTTATGGAAAATAAATGCGTTCAAACTAGATTTTTTATGAGATTACAAGTTTGGCTGATAAAGGTAATATCGTTGATGTAATATACTTGGACTTCTGCAAGGCTTTTAACTTCATACCACCTGACGTTTTGATTGAAAAACTAGAGTGATATAAAATGCATACAGCATACATTAAAGGGATTAAAAGCTTGTTAATTGATAGGTCTTAAAATGTAATTGTTAAGCGGAGAATCATCATCAAGCAGGTGTGTTTCTAGTGGGATCCTCCAGAGATTGTTCTTGGCCCTATGCAATTTAAAATTTTTATCAATGACCTGGAAGAACATAAAATCA